AGTATCTATTTAGGGTATAGTGATCACGAAAAACAACGTTATATGTCAAATAAAAAAGGTATTTCAAATAAAGAGGGCTCGTTAAAGAGCTCGTTAAAAAAACTGTTCTTCGTCGAGCCTTTAATGCCCAGGATTCGCGGTAACGCTTGTGGGAATGATAAACGGGTATGAGCCACAGACATCGGGTAAACCCGCTATACTCACCACTTGACCATTAAAAATGAAGGCAACAATGAGCCCAACAAAACTTGCGGGCCACAGAAGTCTGTGCGGCCTATCAGAAAACTATCGTCATCGTAAACTTCTGTGCCCCAGTAATTGAGTAAATATACGTGCATACAAGTCTAACTAAAAAAATACACGGCATATCCACGAAGTCAATGATGATGAGTGGGCGAAACAGTGGGACTGTTTGGTGTTACCGTAAATTCCCGCGTCATATATCACTCCCGCGTGTAAATTAGTGACAAGAAGGTCACGAATGGTATGTCATGTTGAGTTGTGAATCTCGTTTTGTCTTCCTTATTACTGCTTTATCGGCGTCGGATCTAGCCCGAAGCTGGCAAAGACGAGGTCTGTACACGTCACCCTGGTGGTTGTTCGTTGTTTGCAGTCATACGAAATGCACAAAAAAAGCATATTGGGACGTCATATACTGCACAAGCCATTCGTTGTCCGCGATCATCATTATAATCTCTTTCATCGTCATCAGCGTCATCGTCATTCTGGCTACGGCAAACGCCAACACCGTCAACGGAAGAGCCTCGCCCTTAGGGGGCTTCGCCCCTCAGAGAAACAAGGCAACACTTAGCCCAACAAATGGCATGCGCGTTACCATAGCTACACCACTGTCACGTGATACTTTGTGGTTATAAATGTGGTGCCTGTACTCCAACTTCAAAGGTTAAAGGGACTGTCTACCATCCTTCATTGTTCTCGCGTTTTGTGTCGCAATAAAAAGCGTATCATGTGAATTATCTAACTTTAAATGGTTTCTCTGGAAAGTGTGTAGAAGTTTTTAAAACAGAATTTTTCTGTCCACGTTCTGTCTCCTTTCATTGGTGGGATGAATGCCGATAACTGAAACTGCGCGCTCGCTTTTTGCAGGCTTCATCAAGTTTTGTTTACTAATAAAAACGAATACCTAAGTTGTCGTTTTAGGCAGGTACACAAGTTTTTGTTGTTCTCATTAGCTGTGGCAGTCATTAGCGGTGGCAGACGCCAGACTCGCGTTTCTCCGCCGTTTGCAGCAACGTTACTGGATGGAGTCCTCATCCAGTAACGTTGGTTTGCAGGCAGGCATGCAGGCAAGTGAACACGCACACCGCCGGCAGTGCTACCGGGTGGCTATTTGAACACGTGGGGGAAAAAAGCAAAAAATTAGACTCTGGCGCAATTTAACGCAGCTTAAAGTGTATAAAATACAATTTCAAGTTTTATGTGCTTGTTTCTAAGCAATATAAATTTTCATGTGAAGATTTGCTGTCCTACCATTCAATAGACTGTCAAGAATGACCCCATTCGCTGTTGGGTGACGCTAGCGGTCACTTTTCATCAACTTTCAACATTAAGTTAAAATTATATATCTCTTTTTCTGGTACGCAAGCATTGCTAGTTGCCATTTATGTGACGAACAATCTTTTAATTTATGCCACAATCAGAAAATTTTTTTTCCGAGCGGTAGACAGTCCCTTTGAGAAAGCGTGTGTTATATTGTCAGTGCCTGCACGCGCGGTAGCGTAGCGGCCTAGCTAATCAGTAGCGCCAGCTGCGGCGCCACTCCAGCAGCTCAACTCCAGGCTATGGTGGCTAGTTCTAGCCACCATATCCAGGCCCAAGCGAGGGCCGGTGTATGGCTCCCACCTGTGGCGCGGACGGCAAGTTTTCAGTGTGTTCGAATAAAGTGCGTTCTTCTCGTTTTACCACGCCTCAGCCTTTATGCCCGTAGCTCACCGAGCCCTCACAATATAGAGCAGGGATTGAACATATCTGAAACACTTCCAAGACATAGAAGTGCGTAAGCCTGGCGAAGGCAATGCAACCGATTTCGCCTGATTTCGCTGTTTCATCGGCATCCATGAAACGGAGCTCATTGATTTTTTTTTGTTATACAAAACACACAATGAGAACCAGCAGATGAGTGAGCGAAACCAAAGAATGTCCCAATCCACATTTTTACATTTTTCTGTGTTCTGTCGTTTTGGAAGCGTTTTGTTAGCTGCCGGGGAAATCGGTATTATCAGGATGAAAGCCTCCGATACCCATACGGGGCTTAGACCAAATCTTCGACGATTTAAAACGCTGTGTACTCTATTATTGGAGAAGAAAGCTCAAGTTGTCCCATTAAAAACCTATGAAAAAAAGACATCTGCGACTTCACCAATTGTCAAAGGGCGAATACGTGGTGTAATCGTGATAAAGGTAGATTACAAATCTGTGATAAAGCCCTCAATATACATTCAGGGTCCTGTTGCTAGGTAAAGCAACATTGTGTCCCAATCACACGTCTATGTTGAGCCTTCAGTATTCATTCAGTGTCTAGTCACCACGTAAGGCAACCTTAAGGAAGACTGCGAGTCGTTTTAGTTAGAAACGACTCTTCTTCACGATTCTGCACAGAAACCACGGGGCCAAGAGAAGCACCACAAGAGGAAGAGCTCTGATTACTTTGCACAGATTGAAGGTTTGTTTTCGGAAAATGAATGAGTTGTCATACACGTACAGGACAAACCCAATTGTAACAATGCTGAATTACCACGAAAATTTTGTTGCTGCAACCGATAGTGGCTGTAAACGGGTTACACGAAAACAAGCTAAATTGAAAGATGCAACGCGTTGTGAGTAGACTATAATATCGGATTAGATATGCCAACAGACGTCAGTCATAAGGAAAACAAGCTTGCTGGCAATTTTTTCGACATACTTCTGAGCAAGCTTTTACGTGACCGCCCCAAGCCTTATAGAGCCAATGTATGACAACATATGAACTTTTGAATGCTGAAACTCTCGCAAGCTTCAACATTTTACTTAAATTGTATGCCCAAAATAGGCAGATCCCACGTACAGTGGGAATCGATGATATGCGAAGCACGAATGAGAAATGTTGACATGTCACTTTAAAATCAGCACACCGTTACGAGGTGGAGGTAAATGATGCCGTACATGACTTCCATGCCATGATTATGATGTTTGGATGTGTCGTTTACTTTCGTCATCTATGCACGTCATGCGATACCAAATGTAGTACATGTTGAGCTAGCGAAACGGCCGTGAGCCCACTATGAGCGTGATATAATCTCAAGTTCTTACATGACACGCGTGTCAGGATTATCATGTTTGTTCAGTCATATATTTTGTCATCCATTGACGTCACGTAACGCCAAATTTGGCGTATGTGGAGCTAGCAAAACGGCCGCGAGCGCATCATGACGGGCCCAATTTACTCCAATGGAGCGTTGACACGCGCGCACGCTGGGCACAGCGACGCTACGTTAGCAAAACGCGAGCACTCTTTAGTCTGACGCTAGGCGCGACCGGCGCGAAATGCGACATGCTGCATTTCGCGCCGACGCGTTACCCAGACAACACTGCGCCTCCCTCTTTTCGTTACGGCAGGATGCCGGACGCGCTGAAACGCGCATGCGTCAAACCAACGTAGCACGGCGCGCGCCTGCGAGGATCGGCGCCTGGCGTGACGCGATGAAATGAACGGCGGTGAACGCGCGCACCGCGTCACGTGGAAATGTATTGGCGCCTTGACTGTGGCATGTAGTCATGTTCTCACAGGACACGCATGTCATGATTATCATGTTTGCACCGGTCACATACCTTCGTCATCCACTGGCGTCACATGATACCAAATTTGGCATACGTGAAGCTAGCGGAACGACCGCAAGCGCATCATCAGTGTGGCATGTAGTCATAATTGTTACATGACACGCATGTCGTGAATATCATGTTTCGATGTGTCATTTACCTATGTCGTCCATTCGCGTCGCGTAATACCGAGTTTGGTACTTGTGAAGCTAGCGAGACGGCTGCCAGCGCATCATGAGCGTGGCATGTAGCCATGTTGTTACATAACATGCATCTCATCATTATCATGTTTGCACAAGTCACATACCTTCGCCATCCATCACGTACTGTAATACCGAATTTGGTCTATGTGACGCTAGCGAAACGGCCGCGAGCTTATCATGAGCGTGGCATGTAGTCATGTTGTTATATGACACGCATGTCATGATTTTCATGTTAGAGTCTGTCACTTGTGTTCGCCTATGAAATTATGTCATACCATACCAGTTTTGCAACATGCCATGTGAACGAAACCACCGCAAGAGCTGCAGTAGCTATGAAATGTAAATCATCACATTCATGACATACATGTCATGATTTACATGTTATTACTAGTCAGGATATGTTCTTCATACAGTCATGTTATGCCATACCAAGTTTGGTATCGATACCATTATCGAAATGGCCAGGAGAGCTAAAAGTCGTAGGTGGATAGATAGATAGATAGATAGATAGATAGATAGATAGATAGATAGATAGATAGATAGATAGATAGATAGATAGATAGATAGATAGATAGATAGATAGATAGATAGATAGATAGATAGATAGATAGATAGATAGATAGATAGATAGATAGATAGATAGATAGATAGATAGATAGATAGATAGATAGATAGATAGATAGATAGATAGATAGATAGATAGATAGATAGATAGATAGATAGATAGATAGATAGATACGCTCAAAGTCGCCGAAGTTCGCTAAGAAATGCTTCGCATTTAAAAATGTAATAACAGGAGCTGCCGCTAAACACGTGCCATGGTGTTATTTAAAAGTTAGATTGTTGAAACTGGTATTGTTATGAACGATTCACACTCCGTCTTGACCTTGTGTTGCTTTTCCCTGTCCCAATGTATTTTTTCCTCCCGAAATGGTCAAGGTAAGACAACCTTGCCTCCCAATTACACGTCCCTCTGCGCAGGTCGGGTGGTGGCCACGTGCGCCTGCGTCCGCCAGCACGAGACGCTATTCTTCGTCGGCATGTACGCGGTGCGCAAGCACCTACAGGGGCGCGGCATAGGCATCCGGCTCTGGCGCACCATGGCCAGGCGCCTGGGAGACTGCAACGCGGGCCTCAACGCCGTGCCCAAGCACCTCAGCACGTACCGGGACCACGCGGGCTTTGGCCACCTCGACACTTGGAACACGCTGGTCTACAGCGGCACTGCCGTCAGCACCGACAAGCTGGCGCGGCCCACGGAGGAGCTGCGCGCTGTACCGGTCACCGCCAACCTGTTGCCCGAGGTATATCCCAACCTGCGAGATGAAATGAAATGGAAATGTTTATGTCGTTCGAGGGATAGCGCATCCAGGACGGGATAGAGAAGAAGACACAGAACACATACACGGCGCTAGCGCCGTGTATGTGTTCTGTCTTTTTTTTCTCTGTCCCGTCCTGGATGCGCTATACCTCGAACGACATGAATAACCAACCAGCCCGCCGTGCAACCTTAGTGGAATTGTTTATTTGCCTTTTTAGGTAATACAGATTACGAAATACGGGTGTAAAAAATGCTGTGCTCGGACAGCTTGACTAGTTGGATTTTGTTTGGAAGTGAGGCAATGTTACACATGAAGAAAATTCGGCAGGTCCCACGTACCTTAGGAATCGACGTTAGGTGAAGCAGGTGGAGAAAAGGTGACCGTGTTATAATTTTTTATTGAGTGACACGTTATAAAATGACGCTAAATATTTGTAGCAATGTTGCACGCACAGACATATGTTGAACAATTCCAGATGTTTATATACCCAGTTGTTTGCGCTTGCGTAACGATGCCAACAGCATCATGAATATTAACAACAGCAGAAGCGGTATAGGCTGATATAAAGCGCTGCTGCTCGCGGGGATCGTAGCCCTGGACACCTGCTACATAAATAAACGTTGCGGATGACATCTGGCAGCAACTTGACGTGACGGCCGTATCGTAGCAGTGCTTATGTAATGTTTATAAAAGTGGAAAGTCAGCGCTGCAACCACAATTGACGTCTCACGCGAAATATAGGGTCTATTCGTAAGGTGCTTCTTCGGGACGGCTTTATGCTCTCACGTAGTCGAGTATACCTCGTACTCTAAATCTATAACAACTTTTTCTAAACACAGTTCCAAGACCTAGGTGACTCTGTGGTAGAATACTTGATAGCCACGCATAATGCCCACGAATGCTAAGCTTTGATTTCTGCTGGACATGCATTTACTATTGCATTCGTCAAGTCAATGCTGCGGATGTCCGCTTTTTCTTAAGGAAGCATTAATATTACCCATGTATGTACTCGCCGTTTCTGTGTGGATATAAACTGTCAAACACCTGTGACGCATACCAGTGGCACATACCCGCCCCCTGGTGTGTGCCTCTGATTTTGGAAAAGTGTTTGACGACATACGCGAAGGGATTATGACATTATTCATGTCATGACCAGTGAGTCCTATTCGTCAAACCATTTAACCTCCCATATTAATTTTGGTTTACCCAAGTTGAGGGGAGGAGACGTAAGTGGCTGAAAAGATAGATACGCAGACAGAAGCTCAAAGTGCCTACAGTACGCAAAAAAAAATGTCTCGCATTTAATGAACAAATTCACTTATACTTGATCTTACAAACACAAAACCACAAATATATATAGCTTATACTTGTACTGTTTTCACACACGCTTTCATCTTGACAGGCAACGAAATCAAACAGTTATCTACAATACAACACAAATATATACCTAAACCTGCATCATTTTCAGTTATTCTCTAAGGGAGGACGTAAAAAAATTCAACTGTACCAATTTATAGCTATTTGATAGTGCAGTTATTGTGTGGTGAAGGACTTGTTTTCCGTAGTTTGAAAGGGGTGTTGGTACTAACTAATCCACTAGGTGTCTGGTGCCGTAACTTCGAGCATTTCTTTGAAGTTTTGTGAGATAACGTATATTGTTAATGTTTCGATGACGGTCTTGTTTTTATATATCACTCAAAAGATATCGGTATAGATTACGTATTGTGTCGGACTGCGCAAAAGGAGAAAGGGGAGGGAGGCAGGAGGGTGCTCACCCCCCAAATTTTCTAAAAAGGGCGTCAAGCCCGCCACAGTTTAATGTGCAGGGTTAGGGTCATGCAGGTTTTTGAAGACAATGGCTGCCGATGGCGCCTGTTTGCTTCGCACAATCACCCCGAAAAAGCCGGGAACTAATTGAAAGCCTTCGTTAAGTAGCACGTCATTGCTTTATTTTCGTGTCTGAATCAATGTCTTGGTCAGAGCTTTGGAGTCCGCGAGAAATGCTACAGCCTCTCGATCATAGGGGCTGTATCGCGCCGTGCTCATTGCGTTCTTGAACTTTTAAATGCAAATGCATTTCTTTGTCGGGTTATGTCAGGCATCCGGCGATGTCCGCGGCGTCCGCGGCACTCCCTCGCTCATAGCAACAGCTGCGGGCGCGCGCGCTTATACTCGCCCCTAGCAACCGGAGCAAGGGGTGCGAGAAGTGCAGCAGAAGGTAAGTGCAGTGCCTCGCCACTCCTTCTCTCACCAATCGCTCTCTCTCCTTTCTGCGCCTCACTGCCTCGTCCGCTCGCAACTCACTCTCGACCGTTCGCAGGCTGGGCGCCTCTCAAGGACTTTCGGAAATGCGTGCTCGAGACGCCGCTGTGGAACGCCAACGCCGAGCCGAGAACGCTGTTTGTTTGATTCACTTGATAGTATTTTTAACTGTGCACGCTTGCTACTAGAGCTGGAAATGCATACCGCATTTCTCACGACAGAAAAACACCAAGTGCGGCAAAAGGCGCTATTGACTACGCGGTGTAAAAAAAAAAGAAAGCATTATTCTACTAACGCTCTCTTTGTTCTCACGTGTAGAAACGGCGTTATGGAGGCTACGCAGTGCATTCGCATTTCCTCACGATTCGCTTCGGAGAGGTGGGGGATTTTTTTCCTGTTCAAGTTTCGGCAACGAGAGTGCTCCTCGCGGATATTACACTTCGAATCCTGTCGCCGCTTTTGGTGACCTGAGCTCTGCAAAAACGTTCTCAGCTACGCCATTCGAACACCCGTCGCGTTGTCTGGCTCGCAGCCTCGCACATCATCGCACAAGAGTTCGGCGAGCATCACGTGCACCCGCTTGCTGTGGAGATAGAGAAATAACGTTTATTTGCACCCGTCTAGAATGACGGGGGAGGAGGCTTCGACCTCTGCTCCCGATCATCCCCCTACCGATCAGCCGGAATCCCCCGTCAGTGACCTTTTTTTCTCCTCTATAACTTTCCTTCCCCTCTCCCCTTCCCCAGTGCAAGGTAGCCTACTGGGCAGGGGCGGCGCCAGGATGTTTTTACTGGGGGGGCAACCACGAAAAGTGAGTTCCTCCGGGGGGGGCAAGCTAGCTCTGCTCCTACTAGGTTTTCAATATATGCTTCCGGGCACTTGGGTGGGCATAGGGGGGGCAGGCGAGAATTTTGGGGGGGCTCCAGCCCACCCTTGCCCCCCCCTGGCGCCGCCCCTGCTACTGGGGCTCAGCCGTGGTTAACCTCCCTGCCTTTTCCTTATGTTCTCTCTCCCTCTCTCTCCTTGGGACTCGGTGGCGGTGATGGTGAGACCGATAACTTGAAGTTGTTCTTCGGCGTCGTGGCTGTGTAATAAGGCCTCCCAGGGTTTACGTTTCTACTTGGATCATTTTAGGAAGGCCAGGCCCAGACCACGTGCAATAAGCCTGCAGTGCTATTACAGTGCGCACATCTGGAGTTAAAGAATGTAAAACCTCTTCGCCAGTGCCAACGCAGCACGGTTGCGTCATGAACAGGCGCAGAGACTGTGCAAGGTCGTCAGCGAGAAACCTACCGCCCACCGGTGCCTGCTGCCGACGCCGAGGCAATTGCAAGGGACCCGACGTTTTTATCGGCCTGCTGCCCCATCATTACCACCACAGCCTCTTAGTTTACACTGGCAGCGCTTCATACAGCTCAACATGGAGTTCCCGGCACAGTTGGGAAGCTCCTGACTTCTTCACTCGTGGTGGATTTTGTCGTATCTTGCGCTGTCATGAGCTTCTTGTTCGCGCACGTCACCGCGACTCGCAGGACGTACCACTGCCATTAGACGCAGAACCTAAACTTGCCGACACGGACACTACATCTACGTGAAAGCGCTCGTGTCCAAGCTAGTCGGGCAGCGGCGACTAGGGTGCCTCGCGGAAGATACAAGCAGTAGCGACTGAACGTCTCACGGTTTCGTCGCTTACCACACCGTCAAGTGACGCGGTTTCCAATGAGCACACCATCACTCACGACACCGATGGTACCTACGAGTCCGAATTTTAGACCATCGCCTACAGGTCGCAGAAGCACTGTCAGTGAGCCGTGACGTCTCCGGGACCCGCATGGCAATGTAAAAAAGGAAAAAAAGGGGGGGGAGAGAAATTATAGAATTTGTTGAATATCTGAGGCAGAATAGTTATATGAAATTCTCCTGAAAGTTGAACCATTACAGTGTATCAGCTAAATAATAAGTGGTAGTGTGACTAGTAAAATTCGATAGCTGATTGCTGGCTCAGCAAGGTAATCTTCTTTTGTTATATATGAATTCGCAGAGAGCCCCGCAGATGTTCCTGTCGCTATGTCCCAATGAAGTGGCCCCAAAAGACAAAATATTGGGAGTATTAAGTGATATTCCTAGTTTTCTGAATAAAATTTCCAAGCAGTTTCTTCTTTGATTTTTGAAACAGTGACATGTACTAAGAAAATGGTCGATATGTTCAGGTTCGTTACAGCTTGAGCACAGAGGAGATGGCACCAGACCAGGCCTGTTTAAGTAGAAATTAAGAGGCGGTACACGGCAACGTAGTTTTGTTATCAAGACTTCCAATTTCCGCGTGGGACACCATTTATTATTCCATGTGAAGTGCAGGTGCGAGAAATCTGGATTCGGTATCATGATTTCTGATGAGTCTTCAAAAAGGGAAAGTTTTCTAAACCTCGCTGCTGTTACATAAGCTGTAGGAGGCATGATTGGCACAATCGGAAGATCAAGAGATGTTCGCGCAAGTGTGTCAGCCATCTCGTTTATATATATACTACGATGGCCTGGCACACATATCAATCGCACTAGACGAATGTTTGCTGGGATTAATGAATTAAACGTTTGTAGTACTGCTGATGTCGACGACGATGATAAAAATGAACACACGGAATACGAGTAAGACACTATCACAGCTGTCGAATGAGTCGCAGGAAGTTTACGAATAGCTAGTATAACGGCCATTAATTTCG